GTGGGAGGAGGACGATCCCATCATTGCGTCCACATACCAGCCCAGCTTGCTACTTTTTTGAAGTTGTAAAATAAAATAATCAAAATAATAGTAAACAAAAATAAGATAATAATATAATGCTGGATATTCTGTTCTACCCTATGGATTCAGTGCTGTTCAAGTGAATTGACAGAATTGAGTCGGAAAGGTGGGGCAATTTGGAGCTATAAAAAGGGACGGGGCAGTTTGAAGCTATAATGAGGCAGGAACAAGGGTCTGAGGGTGAAGCTTCTGAGGCTATGCTTGAGCTATGTGAAAAAGGATTGTCAAACTTGCTGACTTCCTAACTGCCTTATTGAAATGGAAGGTTGTTTCGTTGCTATAGCGATTACTTGGGGCACTGCCTTCCTGTTTTTCACAATCAATTCCGAAAACACTGTCATAGTTGTTTTGAGACAACAACGAAGTTGAGCTGGGACGCACAACAACCCCCGAGTGACAAGCTGTTTTCCAGATGTTTGCCGACACTCCCTCATTTCCGCCTCGCGCTCAGAGGAGTAGTTGCAGGCTGGAGCGGCGCTGACGTGGCCTCACTGCAGTTCCGCCTCGACTGAGACTTTTCGTGGAACGGCGATTCTTGAAGTTTCCTCACTTTCACGACCATTTGCTTTAATTCTCGGAATGTCCCTCATGACTTCAGCTTTGGAAAAGCTTTTGATGCATATCAGATGCCCGTTTTCGTCAAATGACAGCGATAGCTTAACACAATTAGGAATATCCTTGATGAGTTTCTTCTGCTTCGCCGAAAATTGATTCTTTCAAAGCTGCAGAGGAGCAAGGAAGAAAATGCAATTACTCTGAAACAAGTTGCACAGAAAAGATCTAATTTTCCAGATAGGCGTCTTCTCTACGCCCCTCTATCGCAAAAAGGTCTCCCTGAGTGGTTAGGCGAGGGCTGGATAGATCTTTGGCCCCAGAAAGAAGGAAGTTCCTTGTATGTACCTCGTCATGAATAGGAGTGTTTTGGGCCGAAAAGCATGTGGTAGCAGAGGAAAACACGGATAGAAGTTGAGCTTGGTGCTTTGGAATCACTGATCGGATATCCTAGCAACGAGCTGTCCCTCGTAATCATCGACGAACGGACAAAAACGCCCAGTGCTGTTTGGTCTTTTGATAGTTTTTCATGCGTATAGCTTCTTTCAGGAATTACTTTCTGATGAATGAACCTTTAGAAGATATAGATTCCGGAAGCAATTAGTGCTCATTCTCAGATTTTTGATTCATTTCCTGCCTGAGCTCATTGCCGGCTGATTACACGAATGGAGAAAAGGCTCACATGTTTGTACTTCCTAGGGTTACGGTGGCACCAAGGTACGAAATGCCTATCTATCTAAAAAAAACTGAACTCAAGGTGATCTAAGATCTCAGGCCTATAAAAGGATGAAACTTGGAATTGTAGATTTTGGTCAATCCCGTTTACAGAAATGGCTCTTGTTATCGTCTTCCTTTCTGAATCGTAGTGACGTCTGAATGCTAATTCGATTCTTAGAATAGCTTACGGAGAAAGCCGATATAATGTCAGTGTGTTTATTCTCCCAGTCAAGTCTGACGACTAATTATCAATCCTACTTTTAAGGGTGGTCTCGTGGGCTCCAAGGAGAGTGGAGATGGGAACGTACCAATCTGGGATTCGATTTCCGGATCACTGGTATAATAGAGGCATCACTTAGCGTATCCATTACTAAATGGGTCTACATGAATCTGGAAAATTGAAAATTTGCGGTTCCCATAAGTAGTGACAAGAGTACGTGCCGCTACTACTGTTACCCTACTCAGTGGTTGAACGTTCCCGGGATCAAAACACCATTTGAAAGGCAGGAAATCACTAGTTCACGACAATACGCAACTGGAAAAGTCTCGTCGCTTGATCGATATCAGGTTTTGCTTTCTTTCATCCTCGCAGGGTACCAGTTAGATCAGTCGAGAACTGGTGCCCATTGAAAACCGCTACATGACCTATAAAATAGAGCGATAAACCAGGCTTATGGGTTGGAAACAAACCACTGACAGACCAAAAAACGTCCAACCGCTGTGACAGAGGGTTATAGGGTAAAAAGATATACGTCAAGGTTTCTAGATCTGATTCCGTTTCGTTTTCCGTCTTAGAAGGATCACAAGTTATGATCAGAAGCTTAGGCATCGAGCGGAACTTGTACTCGTAGTTCTGCTTAACAGGTAATGTGCTTACTCTTTGGGTTGCGCCATGCATTCAACTTTCCCGGTTCATATCGAAAGACCACTCCAACCTTCTGGTTGGTCTCATCGTATGATTAGCTAGTTAAGTGGTCCACAGATAAATGTAGCGACCCGACACCGCCTCTCGTTGTTAAACGGTATCATATATGAACATTCGTTGGTCTACATTGATAGAGAGACCACTAAAAGCTGCTCTTGGAAATTCTTTTCATATTGATGCTGCTGAGCT